GTAAATGTGACCCCACTGACCGGGGGCTCCTTCTCCCTTTCTAGGCATGTGAGAAATACCACTGTGGGCAAACATTTTTGAAAATGTAACTTTCTAGCAACACGCCACAGAAGAGAATCTGTGACCATTCTACATTTTCTTTGACTCTGTAAAACACCAGGGCCCTCACAGTAGCTCATTTAAAAAGCTCAGGGGCAAAAAAAAAAAAAAAAAAAAAAAGCTCAGGGGCTTGTGGGCAAGAAGTATGCACTCGTTTTTGTATGAGAATCTGTTTTCCATCTGTTGCATGCCTGTTCCCCCATCACTGCTTCAGAGGGTGTGGCCTCCGCAACAGCAGGGTTTGTCACACGACCTGAGCAACCCAACCACCCTTTGCCTCAAAATTAGGCCCAGTGATGGAGTTTGACCGGGACAAGACCATGTCACAATCTTCCTGAGATGGGCAGAGTCACTAGCAATAGGACCGCTCTAGCACCACCACGACACATTACTCAGACTGACCACCGACAGGAATTTATTGTCTCACAGCTCTAAAACCCCAAACTCTCAAACTGGGGTCTTGGAAGGGGCATGGTCACCCCGAAGAGCCTGGGGGAAGTCCTCTATGCCTCCTCCTCGTTCCCAGCACTAGTGGGCAGCAGGCATGGGAGAGTAGGCCCTACCTTACTCCAGCAGGACCTTTTCTTCAATTGTATCTCTAGTCTATCTGCGCAACCATACTTCCAAAGCAGTTTACATTTATAGGGACTGCTGGTTGGGATTTTTTTTTTTTTTTTTTGTACAGGGTCTACAGGGTCTCACTACACAGATCAGACTCATAGTGATCCTCTTGTTTTCAGCCTCCCAAGTGCTGGGATTACAGGCTCACGCCACCACGCCCAGTCTCAACTGCCATCTCAGTGCGCCCCCAGTGTGGGGATCAAACCCCGGTCCCTGCGTCTGTCTAAGCAGGTGCTTTAGTCTGCTGAGCTATCTGGCTGGCCCAAGGTAGTTGGGACTTTAACATCATCCTGAGCAATGCAATTCAACCATGTAAGCCTGACTGACTACTGAAGCTGGAAGTAGGCAGAACCAAGAGACAAAGAAAAACGAAGAAGGCAAGGTAGTACTACAGATTCCCTGGACTGCAGCTAAATCCAAGTCCCAGTCCATCTTTCGATTTCCCAGGAGCATGATCAATGAACCACTCTCCGTGTTCAAATGTAGTCAGTTGAAGTTTCTGTCACTTACAACCAAGACATCTCACTGATATATCCAGCAATGAATGATGCTGTATAGTGGAATTCAAATACTTTCCCATCATCTAGAGGGGGTATTTATAAAAATAGATCAGCTGTGAATCGATAACTGTTGAAACTACATGGGAGGTATAAAGAAACGTGCTATTATCCATTTACTCCAATTCTACCTATGTTTGAAAAATTTCAAAAATAAGTTAAATTATGACCTACTGTGCTGGCCCTGCCCTCGGGGGGCACTGAGACGGTGATTGAGACTGGGTGCAGAGGCAGCGTGCGCCTGTAATCACAGCACTTGGGAGGCTGAAAACAGGAGGATCACTACAAGCCTGATATGTATAGTGAGACCCTGTATTCAGTACAATAATAATAATAATGTTAAAGTAAATGTTCAATAAATACATTCTTCCAGGTCCTTGACATTTTTTAAATTTTTATTTGTTTATTTTTGTCTTTTTGAGATTTCTACCACTGAACCACCACCAATGCCTAGTATTTTTGTCTTTTTGAGACAGCATCTCGCTATGCAGTTCAGGCTGGCCTTGAGCTAGCTTTGTAGACCAGGATAGTCTTGAACTTGCAATGATCCTCCTGCCTCAGCCTCCCCCAAGTGCTGGGATTACAGGTGTGTGCCCCCATGCCCAGCTAGGTTTTTTTACTTAAATCCCTGCACACATAAGGGGAAATAAAAGATCAGAGAAGGTAGATGGCACGCACACCGGGGAAGGGCAGGGCTCTACAGGGAGCAGCTGTAACACCAGGAAACCTCGGCCCGGTGTTTCCTTGGCAGCCTACAAATCACTACCATTAGTAGGCCCACCTCTGCCCTGTCTTGACCTCTTTCCGCAGATGGAGGTGTTGTGCCAGCCACTGATGGATGGCACCACGAGCACGCTGAGAATGCCCAGCCGGGCAGCTTCAGCTCCTGGGGCTGTAGCCCTACACACAGAGCAGACTGAGCTGGCGCCATGCTAGGGAATTCATCTTTCCTCCCAGCTAATCTCAATAAATTAGCTCATGAGAAAGCAAGGATGCAGCCAGCCAAAAGCTAGCGAGCGCTGCTCTGGCGCAAGGGCACGTCTCTTGGTTTGCAATGTCTATGACTGCATCCTCTAGTTAAGGCTAGCGTCACCTGTGGAACGCTGCCCTCTCCCCAGGTGGATAGCTCTCAGCCCATCTACCCATTAGAATAGTCTGGGATCTTCAACAAGTCCCTGTGCCCTGCCGCGCCCCAGATCAACATTGTCCAGGGACGGAGGCGGAGTATTCATGTTTCTCCTCTGGATTCAAATGACAATCTGGGCCAGAAGGCACTACCTCAGGCAAAGCTACGTCTGCAAGGCAGGCAGCTCTTTGGATACATGCCTAGTTCTCTCTAAGGCAACTCCTCCACTTGGTCAGACCTCAACCGATCTACACTCTAGCTCCTTCCTCTCTGTTTTAGCTTCCTAGTGCTACCATGACAAAATACCACAATGACAGAGGCCGGACACAACAGAAACTTATCCTCACAGTTCTGAAGCTGCCAGCCCAAAAGCCACAGGTTGGCATCCTGAAGGTGGTAGGTACTGGGGGGACCCCTCCTTTTCCTCTTCCTAGATCCTGATGGTAGCTGGAAATCCTGTGTTACCTGGCTGGTCCACGTATCTCTCCAGTCTCTGTCTTGTCACCTGGTGTGCCCTCATCTGACTGGGTGACCTTTCTGTCCTTATAAGAATGTCAGTCATGCTCTGTAAAGTGTCCACCCAGCTCCATAGCTAATTATATACACAAAGACACTATTTCCACATAAGGACATGTTCTAACAGTCCAAGAAGGACAAAAATTTGAAAGGGGAGGACACTTCTTAATCCATTGTCCTCTCTTTCACCTGTATTAAGTCTCAGACTTAGTCTTCCATAGAATACAGGTAAGATCTAGAAAACTGGGCATACAATGCCTTTCTGTGTGGTTACACCCGTAACGCCAGCACTCAGGGGCCTGAGACAGGAGGAATGTAAGTCTGAGCCCACTCTAGATGGACTAGGGCGGAGGATATAGCTCAGCGGCATAAGCCAGGATCCCAAGTGTGATCCCCAGTACAAACGAACGAACAAACGAACGAACGAACGAACAAAAGAAAGAAAGAAAGAAAACCACTCTAGAAAGAAAGAAAGAAAACCACTCTAGATGGACTTACAGAGACCCTGCCTCAAAATAAAAAACCTCAGTGCAAAGGCCCTAGGTTCAATCCTCAATAATGCCAAACAAACAGACAAACAACCCTATTTTGAAATTGTTTCAGATTTATAGACAGTTGCAAGAAGAGCAGAACAAGGTCCTATACACCCTTCCCCCAGATTTCCCTCACTCTATAAAGACCCAGTGGAAATCTGAACTCTCAAGCGGGTCTGATCGTATTAACTAAAACAAACACTTTCAGCACATTTCCCCAGGTGTCCTCACAGCACCCTTTATCTATCCCAGGATTCCAACTGGGATACCAATGTCTTGAACTTAACCTGATGCTTTTAAGAAAGAAAAGGGCCGGAGCCAAGCTCTCACCACAGAATCAAGATTTCCTTTCCCACCTCCTTCCCTTGTGACCCTCCAACTTTGTACACAGCCTCACACTTGCATCCAGCCTGCTTGATGTCTCATCTGTGTCTCTTTCCTGTTTGGATCTGCCAGTCCTGATTTTTTATTTGGGTTCATTCCTTAACAATTCTGAGCCTACACAGCCACTCTGAGAATCCAGGAGCAGCTATAGACTCTCCTCTGAGAAAAATCTATAGACAGTACCATTTGTGCATCCAGTTTCAGAGCAGCAAGAGGATTGGTGAGATAGCTCAGTGGACTAAGCACCTGCTTTGGCAAGCACAGGGACCAGGCTTCGATCCCCAGTACCACATGCCAAGCCAGGCTTGCCCCTAGAGCGTGCTGAGCTTTAGACCAAGTGTGAGTGTGGCGGTGCCTGCCTGTAATCCCAGCGCTGGGGAGATTGAAAACAGGAGGATCACTACAAGTCTGAGCTGCAAAGAAAACAAAAGGGGGACACAGAGTCCCCTAGCTGTCCCCCAGGGCTTCTACTTAGGTGCTTCCTTCTGCAGCTCGGCCTCCTCTTGCAGCTAACTGGTCCATACAGAAGCACCGCAGTTCTGCCCAACCCAACATCACCACAGACCTTACTTTCTCTGTGAGTATCTGAAGCATCTCAGATTTAACACTTCTCAGTCCAAAACCCATGTTAGAAAGGAAATGGCTCCAGGGAGCATGGACAGGCCACCAGGTTGAGATCTTCTGTCACTTTTAAATGGCAGGGACCTTGGACAATACCAACCTATTATGCTTTATTTTGGAAATAGTATTCAAGTCCCCCCACCCCAAGTGAAAACCCTAATTATCAATTCTGCACCTCTGCGTGCACTCTGCAGCCCCTGTACCAGCCCTGTAGTAGGTATGCAGGAAACAACACACACACACACACACACACACACACACACCCCGCCAGCCCTGCTCACTGCTCACTGCTTGCATTTTATGCTTCAGTGTCCTGCTTCACTCAATTCCTCGAACGCGGCATCCATGCCTTGCTCCTGGGATCGCCCAGGCCTCAGCTGAGCTATGCGACCGCTGGTGAGGACCCCTCCAGTTCACTCTGCTGTGGGGCCACGTGTTCTCCTCTATCATCACTCTGCCCAGAATTACCCCATGATCCAGAAGACATCAGCATCAGAGAACAGACAAGAGCAGTCCCCACGGACAAGGCTGGCGCGCTCTTACCTTCTGCAAACGGTTCCCATTCATAAAACCGGCCCATGAACGGCTTGTTGTTGTAGGACGCACACTGTACCTCACGGATACTCCTGCTGCTTTCTGGGCAGGGCTAGGAAAGCGGAGAGGAAAGAGGAAGGATTAGCATCCACCCCTACCGTTCTCCTAGGTGAAGCTAAGGTCACCTTTCAACTCCAAATACCAGTCCTCCTCTTCTAAGCCACGGTTTTTCGAATACGCTGACCCTTTGCATCAGAAATTGTAACTGCAGATCCCCAGGCTTTGGTCCAAGTCCACTGATTCAGAATCCCTTAGAGATCCTGCATTTTTAACATTGTTCCCTGGGTTAATTGTCTGGGTATTATCATTTGAAAGTGTCTGACTCCACACCTTCTGATCCTGACCAGTCCCATCTGCACTCCACATGGTGCGCCTCCTCCTCTTGCATGAGAAACACCCACAGCAAGCACATCCCAGGCCATCACCGCGAGCCAGGCTTTACTTTCAGCGTATTACAAGTATTCTCTGAATACCAGCGAGGTGACTGTTATAGCTTCACAGTTTTTCCAGAGATGAGCAAACGGAGGCACAGAGGTGTCATAGAGCCAGGGAGGACAGATCCTAGATTCACATCTAAGAAATCAGATGGCTGCCAGGCTCTCTCTTACTCTCCCCAGGCAAAGGAATCACCCAGAGATCCTGCTGGAAATCTGAACTCCTGGGGACCTCCCCCAGTAATACCGGAAGAAGTCCAGGAATCTGTGTGCTATCAAATATATCCAGGGGACTCTGATATGCTATGCTAGAAAGAAAAAATGCAGCTCCTTCTGGCTTATTTCATCATTTATAAATGGCAAATAGAGCAGAGAATGACATAAAATGGGTGTGAAAACTCAAAGCAAAATTAGAATCTCCAATTCATATTGTGGATAAAGCATGATCTAACTTTCCATGTGCTTTTAATAGTGTGGGTGGGCATTTGAAAGTGTGTGTGTGTTTGTGTGTGTGTGTGTGTGTGTGTGTGTGTGTGTGTTTATTACCAGAAGGGAAGAGAACTGATCCTGCTTCCTTAAATACTAAAAAACCCTGAATATTGGAAGTCTCTGGAATAAACTGCAAATACAATAAGTTCCAAGTCTTCAGGGTTCATAAAGATACCTACCGTGTGCTTCAGACACCAGGCCTCCTCCTTGGCAAAATGAAGCAACACAGTGAGGGATGAGGCCCGGCAGGAGGACAAGCATCTCCTACTTGGTGAGGAGCAGGGCTCGGAGGCAGCTGGCACCAGCTCCAGGGTGGTCAGGACCCACAGAGGACCGAGCCAAGCCATATGGAGCAAGAAGCTATAGGAAGCAGAGCACGAGGGAACCTGTGGGGGCAAGGGGTGGAAGGACAGGCGGGGGGCTGTGTGCTGACACCCACAAGCTGCCGCCAGGCAGGGGCTCTGGAAGCCCACCTGCTGGCACCCTGCCTCGGGACCCAGCCGGGCTTCCGACAATGCCAGCTGTCCCTGGAAAGAGGTTCTGGTTAAGATGCTTCTTTCTAGTTAAGCTGGGATTACAGATGGTTTCACTTCATAATGGAGTTTTAGCTTATTTGTGTTACTCAAGTTTTCTACTACGGATACATATGCAATAAGAAGAACTGATCAATATCGGCATCTTCCCAATACACTGGCCCTTGACTGCCTTTCCACGTGCAAAATTTCCATCTTATTGTGGACTGTCATACGACTATCGCCTGGTGCCCTCACTTACGTCTGTAACATTCATGCACGCCCGCTAAGCCCGCATCACGTCC